AGTATGGGAGGGAGAGAGCAATTTAAATATACTATTATTTTGTCCTAGTTGTAGCATATTAATGTGTACATATTTGTATGGTATTTCCTTAACAGAAGAGCAAGGTGTTTTGGGAACCACTGTCATAAGCTGGGTTTTGGGTGGAGGACAGTAGCCAGCTAACATAGCATATCAGTATATCAATAACTGCAGCTGTTACTGATCAACCCTAGTTAATTTTTAAAAAATTTATTTACTTATTACTTTGTCCCTCTGGTGAGATAGCAGTAAGAGATAGGTAAGCACGTATCTCTGCCAAAACAAAGGAAAATGTACGCCTTTCATTAAATCTGAATGTTTAGGGCATTTAAGCTTCAGGTGATGATTGCCGAGAAAGTAGAACAAGAAAAGACAAGCTCAGCAATGCTGGAGCAGCACGGGGACATGGCTCTGCAGAAGGCTGAATGTGTGACCATCAACTTCTGTAGCCAACCTCCCCTTGAAGTAATTGGAAATATCCTTCCCCTTCCCTTCTCCATGGGCTCATCTGCTGGTGCTGGAGCTTCTGACCCCCTGCAGCCTGCTCTTGTTGGCTGCAGGATGCTGCTGCCCCTGTGCCCCCTCTCAGCTTCTTGATGGGAGTAGAGACCTGGTGAAGAACCGCTGCCTGGTCCACACTATGCAGCTATGGAGCATAGGAGGGCACTTTCCATACCATGAACCTGTGCATCATTGCTTTGAGCATCACTGTGCTAGAATTGAAGGTTGTGGGTCAGGGAATTAGTGGAAGGCTTTAGAGTTGTGGTCAGGGAAAATAAATTTCTGTCTGTTTTTTATTTTCCTTTGCATAAAATGAACTTAAGTTGTCCTTTTAAATAAGGTTAATTTCATCAAAAACTCCTGCTACTGCTACCAGTTTCTCTGCTAAAAGAATATTCTCCAGGACCCTTAAAATATGACTGACCTAAGATGCAGTCTTTCCAGAAGGAAGAATTGCAGGCCTTTTGGTCTAAGGCAGGCCAATAATAAAGGATAGACCAAAGACTTCAAAACTAGAATAAATACGTAAAAGTTCCAACCACTGATGGGAGTGTGGCCAGGAGAGAGAAGGAGCAACAGAGGTGTGTCCAGATGGGAATAACCCTTACTAGGGCACGTGAAGGTGACAGTGGCCAGAAGAGGGCCTGTGCACCTCTCACAAAGGAAGGTCAGGAAGATGTCCCCGCACCAGCAAGTTGCTGGTAGGGAGGAACCACACCAAAAGCTTCAGCTGTGGCTTCAGTCCTGTAAGGAAACACGGGTCCTAGGGGGAGTCATCTGCTGTCTGAGGAAAGGGGACAGTAGAGGTCGGCTGTTGTGTCGTCTTTCGACCTGGCTGTGGTACCAGCAATCGGTTTGAGACACTTGAGTAGCCTTGGACTCATCTTAGACCCTCTTTTGCACATCTTTTGGAGCTTAAGGCTCCAGCCTTTCCTCACAGAGAGCTCTGAGGAAGATGTGATAGTTTCTTAACACCATTAAATGAATTTTTTTAAATGGTAAATTCATCAGTGAAACAAAGGAAATGATTGAATAAGACCCAGGATTGTAACTAACTTGAATTTGAGCTTGGCTATTAAAGAGAAGGACTATTTTATATACCATACTGGTCAGGTTAGGGTATTGCATAGATCAAGTGAAACCGTTCTCCCTGCTGAGGAAGCAGAGAGACAGGAAGCCAGGAGACCTGGGGTGGTGGTAAAAGATCCATCCCCAAGCGCTTCTAATGTCTGCTGCTTACATCTGCTGGTTCATTAGAATTCAGCTATGGGTGTGTGTTTGGATTTATGAAGATTTGGGAATAAAGGAACCAAATCTGTTTGGTCTCAAATCCAGGCTGGGCTGACACAAGTATATCTGTCCAGAAGTTGGGAGGCTGCATTTGGGGACTGGAATGTGGGATTAGAGGAAAGAAGAAATCTTCACAGCTATGTAGTAGATGATTTTACAACTGGTTTAGGTTTCATTGCACCTAATAACAGTATGAGCAACGGCAGGGATTATAACTTCACTCTCCAGAAAATCACCTTAGCAATGGTGGAATAAATGGTCTGTGAACAACTGATGTGTAACAGACAAGTTATTCTCCCCTCTCAGCTGCATGCAGGTTCAGCTTTACAGCACACAAGACTGGAAGGACTGGGGCAGTCTTAAGACATCGACTCACATGTGATGCTGACTGAACGCAGATGGCTTAAGTGGTTCCTGTCTTCACTTTTATGCTTTGCCTCTCTCTCTCAGGCTGCTGTTCCTGCAGCGGTGCTGCCTGAGTGATACATGAAATATGTGTGTTTACATTTATGAGCCAAACTGTGCTTGGGAGCAGAGTCACATAAGCCAACACTTGTAGCTGCTAAAATTCTTGTGGCTGGGAAGTACAAGCAGAGCATTCCTTGTTTGCTGGATGCAACCGAGGAGCAGTAAGTAGTAAAAATGACTGTGATTCAAAATGGGCAGAGAAAAAGTCCAAAGTTCTATTTATTTGGGCTTTCCCTATTGAAAACCTGTTAAATAGGATCAGGTGAGAATAAAAAGCATTCAGGTAATTGCAGGAGCGTGGTTTAGCATGGCTAGAAGTGGTGGGAGCCGGTCATGACCATTCCTGTCTTTTGCCTGGCTGTGAAAACTTTCACCTTAGGCACAGATGCCAATGCAGACAATTTTGGGGCATTATTGACACAAAAAGAGAGCAAAGGGTGGTTTTTCAGTGTGGCAGTCTGAGTCATTGTAGAGGGAAAAAATACATCAACACAGAAGAGCTAGAAGAAGTTGAATTTATAGACTAATAGACTCCTTGGAGAAACTTTGAGATTTGCTCTGGATCTGGACTCTGTCACCTTGACACCAGCTTGGTAAACGCTTGCAGCGACTGCTGTCGTGTGGTTTTGTAATTCTGCAGAGGCCTGGGCAGGAGTGTGTTGATCCTGTTGCCTCAGACACAGAAGAGCCTTGTTGGAAGGCTGATTGCCAGCACTAGGGATCAGCTTCTCCAGCGTATAAGGAACCTGTGGCCATTTTGTCCTCCTACGTTGCAGAAGTATAAATATCATTGGTTCATCCACAGCTGGATAAAGGAGTAGGAACGGTCAGTGTAGTCTTGCAGGAGTGGACTGTGGAGCAGCTGAAGGCTTCTCAGAGAGTGGGTTTTCATACCGGGACATTGAGTAATTAGAAAATCATCTGGCAGGGTTGTTCTCCAGAAAATGTAGCATCTCCATGTCATCCCTGAGGAAAGGTCTTCCGAGCCCAAAGGAATTGGGCATTCTGCACAAAATAATCCCCTGCAGGTGAGAGGACCGGATGGGTGGCACATTCAGGTATTAGCTGGTTATAGCAGATATCCGATACGTTTCCAGTAGTCAGTAGTGACCATATGGCTGCTGTGCTTTCTGCAAAAGCCTTGGCTGAAGGAAAGGAGGGTTTCTGTGGATGTAATCAGAGCACAGCAGGAACCGTCATCAGCGTTTGGGTTCAGGCACTGATGTGTTGTGAAAGACAACACATGAGAGCTGCGCTGTTGCGCGGCATGGGAGAGTGTTCATCGGCATCTGCGTGGGTCCTTGCATCGGCCAGAAAGCAGCTGTGAACTGTTTCACGGACAAGTCTGAGGTTTGCTTGCTAAAGTATCAGGAAGCTTTGGCTGTAACACGGTTTCCAGTTAATGAGCCTTCCACTCAGTGGGTGAAATGGGATTCTAGAAAGGGACCTGCAGCCAGCGTGTCCTGTTCCTCCTCCTGACTTACCCATCAGCAGTTGACGGAAAACATCACTCCTTGCAAGGCACAGAAGGAATTCTAGAGGAAATTCTAGACCCTACAATGCAGAATAAAGGGCAGAAAAGTGTCCTTTTGTAAGAACAAATACAACTTGATCTCTAGTAAATGAGAGGATGGTCTTGGAAGATCAGTTGTTTGTTTGAAAGCAAACGTTTACAAGAAGCTGTCTGCCTTGGTTCCACTGTCCCACAAGGATGGAGAGCAAACATCTGCTAAACCTAGTGGGTTTAGTGGTTTTATTTTGGTTCGTTCACTCTTCAGAAATTGGACATTGTCAGGAGTAGAACCTATTTCTTTGGGGGGGGAAAAATTGATAGAAAATACATTTTTACAGGCAAAGAGAATCCTGCATTGCCTACAAAAACCTTGACTCCCTGAGCAATGGGTCACTGAAGCCTGGTTTCTGGAGGCATCTGTTGTCTCCACATTGTCTCCTCCCTCCCCCACTGCCTCCTCTCCCTTCTTACCCCTTCCCCATGCCCTCTCCTCTGACTTAGGCCTGGTTCCCAACAAGACTGAGCTAAGGAAGCGCCGGGTCCCTCTTTTCCCGCTGATCATCCTGCTGACTCAGGTGCCTATCACACCATCTTCCCTGCCCCCTCCCCATACTGGTTTTCTGCCAGTTTGCCAGTTATTTTAAATAATTGGTTTGAATCTGTCCAGGAAAAAATTAGGATTGGTCTTTTGGAGGGAGTACGGCAAGGTTAATAGCATTAAGGAGAAGCCACAAAGAAAAAAATTGCATCCCTTAGCTCCAGTTCATAGTTCTTCCTCACCCTGCAGAGAGTGGTGTATGTTATTAGTGTTACTAGTAATCTTTCCTGGTTTTGCATCTCCACATCTTCATCCAAGAAAAAGAAACATTAAACATACACTTGGGATATTAATAGCTGAAATTCCAAAAAAAAAAGGAACAAAGTCAACGTTATGGAGGGTCACAATAATCTTGACGATTTTATATGATTTTTATACTCTTTTCCCAATGATCTTTCTGTTTATGCTGAACTGGTTTGCTAAAAGTAGCCACTTGGTATGCTCAGGTTGCCAGAAAGCTCTGAGAACTCTGCTTGGTAGCTTGCTTCAGGTACTGGCTTAGAGGTTGGTCTGTTATTTAAAAAAAACAACAAAACAAACCAAACAACCAACAAACAAAAAAAGTAGAGTATTTGCTGATGTGTTTCCTGCCTCCCATTCACTGTGTTTCAGAAAATCTTCAGAAGAACTGGACATGGATAAAGTAACAGCAGCCATGGTACTCACCAGTTTATCCACCAGCCCTTTGGTCCGCAGCCCTCCTGTCCGACCCAACGGTAAGCCTACGGAGCAGGGGCTACAGGGCCGTGTATGGGGGGCTTCTTTCCAGGAGTTGTGGCTGTGGTGGAGGACCAGGGGTGAGTGGCTATCTCCTGGCAGTGGCTGGGGGTTGTACTGAGTGCTCCAGCATAGTCAAGGTTTTTGGTGCAGTGTTAGCAGAAATGAGAAGAAACCTTTTCCATAACCGTAGAGTGGCTCCTGTATGGAACAGGAGATGCCTGCTGTTCAAGGCCAGGTTGGACAGGGCTTTGAGCAGCCTGGTCTAGTGGGGGGTGTCCCTGCCCATCACAGGGAGTTGGACTGGATGATCTTTAAGGTCCCTTCCAACCCAAACCATTCTGTGATTCTGTGGTTCTGTGCCTCCTTTCGCAAATGGGAGACGAGTGCTACAGAAGGTCTTCTGATATCTCTGGTGAAACACTAGTTTTCCAAGCAGTTTGTTTGCATTGCACACATGCCGTAAACATGGCAACAGTTGTTTTTGTCCCACATCCCATGGAAATCAGATCAGATTTTACTCAGCACTACGATGAGGCAAAGCACTTCCAGATTCCACAGCCTTTGGCTGGGAGGCCATGCACTGATGGTCTGCGTGGTGACAGGTCTGTTTCACGGAATCATTTGGTTGGAAAAGACCTCTAAGATCATCAAGTCCAACCATCAACCTAACACCACCATGCCCACTGAACCATGTCCTGAAGTGCCACATCCACACGCTTTTTGAACACCTCCAGGGATGGTGACTCCTCCACCTCTCTGAAATGGGAGGCTGAAATGGTGACTCCATTCACTGTATAGCAGAAGACACACAGATAAAAATAAATCTAAAAAGTTAGCTAATAATGAGATTGCTCATTAAATATATTTGATTCATGAAAGCTTGACTGGAGTTACAAGACATTTTTAAAAGTGTTGTATTTCAAGGAATAGTTTAAATTAGGACACTCTTGTTAGGATGTCTCAGCATTGTTTGCATGACTCCGGCTTTTCTTACTCATAACTGTTACATCGATACTAAATGCCCTCCTGCTGTGAATAACTGGAGTACTTGGAGGAGTACTTACTGATTGCAAATTCGTAGAGAAGTAGTCTTTGCAGTTCTTCCTGGAAGCAGGGGCAATCACTGAATGATGTTGTGCCTAAAAGCAATCTGTACCATGAGGAATGTCCCAGCTTTCAAGATTGTTGAATAAACTGTGTTTATTTTTCTAGAAAACATAAATTTTACCCATTTAAGTGGAAGTTTAGACATGAACACGCATGGCTCCTGCCTGTGTGCTTTCCCCACACTTACAAATGTTAAAACCAGAAGTATTTGTGGAGTATCAGTGCTCTGAGGAGCCCTGGGAGACCTCTGGTGGTGACATCCCCAGTGACCGTCCCTCCCAGAGAAGGCCAACAGAAGGACAAAAACGTACCTGCTCTCCAGCTCACAGCCGAAACCACAGCTGAGGGTGGATTTGGGGTGGTGTGCCAGGCAAGGATATACAGCGCCAGGGCATGGATGTATCCCACCTTGCATGCCCGCTCACAGGGAGCTGCCCTCAGTATCGGCCACCTCAGACGCTGGAGCAAGTGACAGTTGTCAGGAGCAGCAGAGCTGTCGATTGGAAAGATCTTCCAGACAAGCCCTTTTGAATTGCTAATAGGTAAATGGTAACTGTTAACAGCGTTTGATATTTCTTGTGCAGCCTGAGTGCTCTTTGATGTTTCTTCACTTGTCGCTTGTCTGCTTGTTTACCGAAATCTGGGCAGACAAGACTGAAAAAGTAATTCATGTGTTTTCAGTAGTCACAGGCAAGACTTGAAAGGTGATGTTGGGCACCTTCTCCCTGAATAGCTTAGTTTTACCTGAGTGAAGACTTACTAAAGACTTAAATAAAAGTGTAAAGATTTGATAATTTAAAGCTCATTTGGTGTTGCAAGGCTAGTCTCTGGTCATAGTAATATGAGCTACAGATGTACTAATGATTAATTCTTTCTACAGCCTTTTCCAAAAAAGGGCAATAAGTAGCACTGTAATTAAAGGACCATTTGCTTAAAAAAATGGAATTTTGCGTGGAAGTAAAAAAAAATAGCATTAGCATTAATATTAAAGTCTGATCTGTGCTGGAATTACTGGGAATGATCACCCATGTAAACTGGATCAGAGTTTGGCCCTTGTTTCCCTGCAACTGAGTTAATATTTGGTCTGGTTCTCTTTCACGCAACCAGCAATGTGAAAAGAGCCCCAATATAAGAGTAAGTTGCATTTATTTATATTTTAAACTGCCTTACATTGACAGATTTGTTAGTATTAATGAGAACCAGTGTTTGTTTTTTCCTGTTGTCAGCCTCCTTCCGTGTTTTCCATACTACTTCAAAAATGTTCTTGATTTGCATCTCTCTCAGCAAGGTGGGGGGAAGCTGTAAACCCCGAGAATACAAACCACCACCATAAATGTGTCAGAAAGCAGTAGTTTAAAGAGTGCTGTTTCCTTTGTTTTTCTGAAGAAATGGAAATTTTAAGCTATGCTAAGGTCACAAGTTGATACCAGATGTATTTCTTGGCTGTGGCACGAGACTCAAGTACAAATACTTAAAAGAAACAAAAACCACCTCCATTACAGTCACATGAAAGCTGTAAGCGTGAACCAGAACATGACATTTTCATGTGTTAACTTATTAGCTACCAGAAATGTACATGTCCTTTTCCAGAGAGGAATTTGCAGGGGAAGGAGAGGAAGAGGCTTTATCCTATTTGTGTTCTGTGGCCCTGATCAGTAAGTGTGGGGATTTGGCTGCTGCCTACACAAGAGGGTATCTTTATGCATGTGCTTACAAGGTGGAGCATGGCATTCTGTTTTCTGAGCAGCTGATGTTAATGATTAAGGGCTTTGTCTAAAAACAGCTGAATTAGGAGGAAAATAAATCATTGGTTAGGGTTGAAACTTTTGGTATCAGGTGGTAGACATTATCTTCTTGCTGATGTCATTAGTTAAATTTATCTGTAAGAAGCTGAGAAGGAATGAAGGAGCGACTTCTGCAGAACTCTTAAAGGCAGGCGCTGGCTTGAAAAGACTCCTGTCTCGCACCTACATGACATTTCCTGAACAGATAGGATGATATTTGCTTGCCAGCTCCAAAGCCAGGCATTGCACAATGCTCAAGCACCAACAGTGTCGTTAGGAAAAGCTTCCCATGCCCAAGTTAGGGAGAAGCTGCACCTGAACCATCCCTCACATGTGCCCCAGGTCTGTGAGAACCTGAAGCTTCAGGCAGAGCCGCCCGTGGTTGCACTGCTGGGCACGCTCAAGTTGTACCTTTGCTGAGCTGATGGCCTATGTATTTCTCTGCTGCCAAAAGCCCCTTAGGGACTGGGAAGAGGTCCATGCCCATGTCTAACACCTGAGGACCTCAGCACGTGAATCATGGCTCAAGCTGTGCCTCAGATTGTGTGAAAGCAGTGCTGTTACTCACACCCACCATGTTGTAGAGTAACCTGTTAGTCTGAGGGTCTGCCTACAGCCTGATGTCAGGGGAATGCTGCAGTGAGGAGGGAGTTCCTCCAGCAGGTAGGTGTGGAGGTGATCCAGCATCTCTGCGTCCTGCTTCTGAAACCAGATGCCTAAGGATACACCTGTATGAAGAAAAAGGGGTATCCTTCCAAGGACATGTACCGCCTCAATTAGAGGTTAAAATTAGGCAGAGGTGTGTGCACTTGGAAATTAGGAGAAGACAAGAGTGTAGTTATGGTTTTCTTTGGGGTTTTAGTACTGCAATGACAATCATGTTTTTGCAGGTCTAGTCAGTGTCCTGGGGCTCAGAGTTTATGTTCCCTTCCCAGGGGATCTTCTGTTGGCTCTGCGGTGGTTTGGAGCTTGCTCTGGCACCCCATTGCAGGTGTGTGTTCCTGTTGGAAGTTGAGGATGTATTTGAATGTTTTCTTCTAGTCATGTGTGCAATATCTGACTGGTTATTGCAGTTTATGCTCCAGAACAGGTCATTTTTCCAAACCCAGCATTTCTTTTTAGAATACTTTGTTTTTTTTAAAAAGCACCTGAAAAATTAAGAGTGGAATGTGTAACTTGTGTGCAGTGGGATAGATGTGGTTGTCCTCTCTACATCCAGCGCTTTTGGTTTCCTTTGTTGACTGCAGTTAATTACCAAGATGTCATCTAAGCCTTAGGTAAAAGAGCTCCCTAGCCCAAACAATACTGTTGTGCTGATGGCTGTTGTTGTTCTTGACAGAATCCCTAAATGGATCTTGGAAAGAAGGAGGATTTGTGCCTTCTAGTACCAGCAGCAGTGGATACTGGAGCTGGAATGCTCCCAGTGACCAGTCCAACCCATCCACCCCATCTCCACCTCTGTCAGCTGACAGCTTCAAAGCTTTTCGGACACCTTCCCAGCCAGATGATGGTATTGATGAAGCCGAAACAAGCAACCTTCTCTTTGATGAACCCATTCCCAGGAAGAGAAAGGTCAGCCTCATGTTAAATGCCATACCCATAGGCAGATAGGATGTTGGTAGACTTACTTTGCTGAGAGAAAGGAACAGATCACCCAAGCAGCTCTGTGTGTGTATCCTTCCTTGGCATGCAGTTGGCTTAGGTGCTTTGCCTAGTCACTCCGTCTCGCTCAACCTAGGCACCTACTGCACACACATGCTGCCGTCAGCACCACATATTTGCTGGCAGATGGTGGGGTTCTGCAGAGCCTCCTGCTCAGAAAACACTAGAGTGATTTCCAGAAGGTGTTGCCTCTGGCCATTCAAGGGATTTCTGTCCTACTGTGGCAAATTCTTTCTATGCAGAATGCAACAGGCAGCCTTGTACGTGTCATCACAAAAACTAGATATGGCCTTAATACTTCTTGTTCCCTGGAAGTGCTGTTTGTCTGACAGCGTGTCAGATACCTTAATACTGTGAAGCTTTCTCTGCGCAAGCATATGGAGTGAAAAAAGGAGAGAGAGATCAAACCTGATGGCTTTTGATACGGTATCAGCAGTGGCCAAATTTATCCTCGGTAGGAGAGTAAAAGCAGACTAAATAATAGACAGTATAAAAAGGGGGAAAAAAAGTCCAAAACTAACCCCCAAAAGCTCCGTTGTGCTAGCGAGCAAGCTCCTCTCCAAGAAAAAGAAAACAAAGAGATGGCACAACTCCAAGTCTCCTCCCTCCCAATGCAACAGGGCAGATTTTACATAGCAAGATGAAAAAAGGCTTTTTGTAGGAAGGAGAAAGAACAGAGAATTTATTCTCCTTAGTGACTTTGTTTCTGGCTCAGTCTAGGACAGTTAATTGCTTCATCACCAGCAGGAAGAAGTTTTAGTGATTGTTTAAATGTGTTCGGATTTATCCTTTTGCTCCAGAAGTTGCATATTTGCCGACCCACACTGTTTTGCCCATGTCTGTGGGAGAGGGGTATGACATGTTTGTGTTTCTTGCTAAGAAGGAAGAAATGTACTTTGGAGGACACCTTTGTTGTAATAAATTAGAAGTCCGAGCTGACTGTTAAGCTAAAGGCAGAGATGATTTCAGAGGGTGTGGGACGGGAAGATTAGGAATGCAGAAGTGTGCTGGTTGGCCTTTGCCTTCTCAGGTGAAGGTCCGTTTATTAGCATCGCTCTTACTGCTCGGTTGTGATGAGACAGATGGGTTTGCTGCTGCCTTCTTTACTGTTACCTAAGTTGTCTCCAAATATTTCTGTTTATGTACCCAGCATATAGCACTACCCGTTCTGATTCGCAGGGATTTTGCTCGGTATGGTAAATGTTTAATTCAGATAAACGTTACCTGCCAAACTCTGTTTTATAAATGAACCGTGTTTCCTGCAGTATTTTTTTTAATTCTGGCCCCAGCAAGGTACTTTATCTGAGTACAGCTTTGCTCCTTTAGAAGCTGAAATAAAATCATTCAAGCTACTTCTTCTTCAGGACTGCAAAAATCAGAAGGAATAAACATGGAAATAGTGTGTTTCGTAACTTTTCTTTTACTCATTAAAATTTCTCCCATTTCTTATTTGGAAAATGTCATGTTAGCAACTGCTTCCCATTAAGAAAGTTGTTTACTTAAAAGTTTCCATTAATGTAGTTATTCCTCATCAAACCATTTACATTCCATTATTTTCCTAAATAAAACATTAGGCCTAATTAGGCAGTTTTTTGACTAGACAGAAATGAAAGCATGATTTATGGTTTGTATTTCTACTGAGTGAGATTTCATTTGGGTACGTTAAAATGCATGGGTTTTTGCAGAGCCCTAGCATTGACAATAAAGCTAAAAACAGTGGAGCTACAAGATTGGGTTTTGTCATCAAACTGGAGATTGATGTTAAACCATTCAGTGTTCATAAAGATATGTATGGGGTTCATGTTGGAATTCCAAAGATGTGCACGATAAGCCTGGTCTTCATCTTGTCACTGTGGTTAGTTGTGGGTTTTTGAGGTTATTATATCATAAAAGTAAGAAATGCATCTGTCAGAATTGCTCGATGGATTACATGTAATTTTAGGAAAAAAGAATTCTGTATCTATTTGAATAGCAGTTGTATTATCCAATCAAAAATATAGAGGGAATTTATGAGCAATTTATTCCTAAGTAGAAGTTTTTCATGCAAACAGTATGATCAGACATCTCACGTCCTAAAGCCCTTGGCATCCATACTTTCAAGCAGGAGATGTCAGACTGCCAAGTGGTTATGAGAACATGCTACTGCAATCAACCTGTGTTCTAAAGAGCCCTTGCGCTCACATGTTTTAAAATTATATTGTAATAATCGGCTTTCTAACACATGCCGAAACTGACCCATCTGCTGGCATGGAATCCAAAGGGGCCAAACTGAAGAAAGCACCGAGTCGAGTTTTGTTCAAGACACAGCAAAGCATCTGCTTGACACTAAGGATGTGCTTGTTCCCTTTTTTTTCTTCTTCTCCTTAATGGAGCTTTATATGAATATATTCATTTAATCTCATATGTAACTAAAATTGTAGGATAATAATACAGTATTTTGAAGCTCTGCCTCATGTTTTTTTAATAATATGTTCTGTAATAATAGGGGAAATTATTTTTGATAAGTATGAATTATTTAGATGTTTTTTAATTTAAAATTTATAATGTAGGTTTCATTTTGGCATAAAACTAGCTTTTAAAAAAATCTGTACTGTACTGCATCATGTGTGTTGTTTGTTACCACATACTGAGGTTTAAATTAAGACTGGTTTTCTCCAGAGTCTTCAAAATATTGAAGATTGGGTTGGTTATAGCCTTGTTGGCTGTGCTCTGAATCAGTGATCACTCAGTTTACACCAATGAAGTGATGTTAAAGAACATAACAGGAATATTAAAAGGAGATTATACACATATTCTTTTAAAAATGTTGAACACAGACAGATGTTTTCCCATTTTCTTGTCCAAATAAGGGTCACAGCAGCTTCTGAATGAAAGAAAAGCAGGTTTTGCCAGCTCGTGGGTGAATACTGCCATTGCAGAAGCTACCGTTTTCTGGCACAATATTTTTTGTGTTGCAAAGCTCATGAGCAGAAATACTCTTTAGGAAGAGGTTAATGCCTTGCATTAAGTGAGAAGTCCTTCTCAGTTGTTCTTTAAAGGCTCCGTTGAGGTGTGGGAAGTTTTTGTATCATCTGCCTCCTTGGGTGGTGAGACAGAAACTGGAACTTGCAAATGAGAAAGCGGTGCCAAAGAGCAGAGAGAGGTGTTTTGTCTCAAGCTGCTCCTGTGGCTTTTCACG